AGTCCGAACCCGAATAATCATTAATTTCACGGGCAAGAGAACCGGAGACAGGATCAGAAACAGGGTTGAGGTTGGAATCTAAAAAGAAAAGAAAAGAAAAGAACGACAATCAATAGATATTGGAAGACACGACCGAGATTCGATTCAAAAGATAAGGGCCAACAAAATGACCAGAAAAGCACGAGAAGCGACTCGACAACAAGACAGAGAAAAAGAAACAGGGAAAATATTTCTCGTTTCAACTCGACTCGACAGATGAAGGCCAAGTCGATGGCATATCAATTCATGAGGAAAAAGAAGAGTTAAATCCCTTATGATAAGATTACTGACAAATAAAAACACTTGAAGAGATGAAAAGCCTGCGATCCAAGATCTAACAGGACAATCGCAAAAAATTCGTATAAAAATACCCAGAAAATCTGATGAACATGCAAAAACCCAAGCACAGCGCCCAGAAAAGCAAAAAAAGAGAGAAGGAAAAAATTGCACATAATAATAAATCGAAAGGCAAGGAGAACTTACTCATACTCATGGTAGTTGATGAAGAACGCCGGAATAGAAAAAGAGCACCGGAAAGCTTGAGAACGCTGTGATTGCCGGAGAAAGAGAGCTCAGAAAGATTGAGTGCGAAAAGTGAAGAAGAGGAAAGGGAGAGAATATTTATAGGGGAAGTGGAAGAAACCCTAGCCTTCAGATTAAAGGTAGATTCAACGGATGAGATGGTGCACGGAATACGAAGCGGTGGAAAGAGAAAGCGTCTTATCAAAGCTCAAGAACCCATTTTTTAATTTTAAAATTTAAAAAGATTCAGACTTATCCAACCAATTCGAAATACTGATTGGGTAAAAAAGTCGCTTTACGAGTCGAAGCAATGAGTAGACGGGATGTAGAACAAGGACAAGCAACATGGCATATGAAAAGATTCGAGTGAGACATTCAGTCGATAAAATCTACTCGTAAGCTCAGAGTCGCTTCGAGTAATTTTGGGAGGGACTAGATGATATAGCCATAACGCTGTATAACGGTTCAATACCATCGTGGTTCAGAGATTACCGAGTCGACTTACGTGAAGTCGACTCTGTCTGCAGATCCTTTATGGTATCTCCGGTTAAAGGTCC